TGATAGAACACTGAAGGTTTACCAGTTGCCATGGCCAAAAGGTGGTTGTCCTACTCCTTTAACCTCACAGGTTGCCTGCTGCTTCAGGAATAAGACTGAGGCTTGGTTTTCCCTGAACCTCAGGTTCCCGGAAGCCTAGGCTTCCAACCTGGTTCTCACTCCCAAGCTGAGGGATGACTATTAGATACAGAGTTGGTAGTAAACACAGCTGTGAGGCTGAGGGCCCAGAGATCTGCAGTGTCCTCAGAGTTTGTTAGTCACCAAAGCACCCACCTCTAGGAACTGAGACCAGATGTTTCAATCCATCCTAGACCCACTAGAGATGATGCACCCACTCAAGGGAGTGGAAGTGATTTAGGGAGACACACTGTCCTTGCTTTCCCCAGAGAAAGCAAATATTTGGCTCTATTTAACATTACTGATTATTACTATTATTACTGCAGCTCATACAGAATTTTGCCAATCAATCCTTATCCTAAAAGACCTTCAGCCCCCAAACAATAAAACTGGCAACATTCAGTCCCACTCCTCCCTTCCCCCAACTCTCCATACATGTACACATATGAAAAAATTAAATGAAATGGTTAAACAGCTTGGGTCCAATTCCTAGATCCTTACTAATTGTATGATTTTGAATGAGTTATTAAGCCTTTCTGTGTTTTTCCCCTGTAATTTATAAAATTAAGATAATCAGAGTGTCTCCCTCATTTTTTGGGAAATGGTTAAATTGGATAATGCATATAATGTATGTGCATGCCAGGCTTATAGTTATTGTAGGTGTTATTATTACCATCTGATACACACTGTGCCTAGTGTAATAGAAAGAGTAGCAGCTTTGGTATAATCTAGTTCTGGGGTCAAACTATGATTCTATTACTTATTAATGGTGTGGTGGTGGCAGTTTTGTCGCTAAGTCATGTCCAACTCTAGTGACCCCGTGGGACTGGAGCCCTCCAGGCTCCTCTGTCCATGGAATTTCCCAGGCAAGAATACTGGAGTGGGTTTCTGACCTTAGACAAATTACTTAACTTCAGTTAGCTTCAATTTCCTCCTTTAAAGAGGAGATTAGAGATCTCCCAGGGATGCTGTCACCCACCCCCAAGGGAGGTCACACAAATAAAGCCTCTGGTCATGCTTAGTACCCAAAGACACTCCACAGTCATCAGCTAAAGTTCCTTCATTTCTTCAAGACCAGCTTAAACATAACCTCCTTCTCAAAGACTTCCAAGATACCATAGAAGCAATGCTTCCCTCCCTTACATTTCCGTACCATTCACTTATTTTCATAGTAAAGCCCTGTACTGGCTTGCTAGGGCTGCTATAACAGTATCACAGATTAAGTGGCTTAAAAAACAGAAATTTATTTTCTCACAGCTCTGGATGCTGACATTCAAGATCAAGGTGTTGGCAGGTTTGGTTTCCCCTAAAGCCTTCCTCCTGGCCTTTCAGATGGCTGCCTTTTCTCTGTCCTCACATGGCCTTTCCAGACCTATTGGATCAGGACCATATTGAATTGATTTAGGTCATATGACCTCATTTAACTTTACCTCTGTAAAGGCCCTATTCTCAAATACAGTCACTTTGGGGGTTGGAGCTTCAATGTATGAATGTTAAGGGGACACTGTTTGGCCTTGACCAGGAGTCACAGACACATTTCCTGTGTGCCTACTAGGTGCCCATCATGTGCCAGGCCCTGGGTAATAAGTAAAACATGACTGAGAGTCTTGCCACGCTCTGTGCTGGGGTGGGGCGGGAGATGTATGTTCATTCTTTGCGGTGGAAGAAAGATATGACCTCATTTAACTTTACCTCTGTAAAGGCCCTATTCTCAAATACAGTCACTTTGGGGGTTGGAGCTTCAATGTATGAATGTTAAGGGGACACCGTTTGGCCTTGACCAGGAGTCTGCCATAATGGCTGGCACAATCCGCAGCAAAGATGGAAGGAAAACTGGCTTAGACTGAGCTTGTGACTGTCAATGCCAACTACTTCCATTCCTGGACATGCAGCTCAGAAGGGGCCTTGTCTCAACCGGTGAGGTCTGACTTGTTATGCTAGTGAATGAGGAATAATGCATCATGAGAAAAGAATTTTGTAAAACCCCAAGAGCTGCCAAGGTTGCATAACAACATTTATTCAACACATGCCATGTGCCTCTGGACTGGAGACTAGATAAAACAGATACACTCGTTCCTTATGGAGTTCAAGGTCAATGGAGGAGGGAGTCAATAAGAGAAGCCTTCAAACGCACCTTGCAAACTGATAGTGCTGTGGAGGGAAAATACAGATGCAAAAGGCCATGCGTGGTGTACCTGACCTGGGCTGAGGGCAGAGAGCTTCCCTGCAGAGCAGTCAGAGGAACCTGGAGATTACTAGTGGGGTCAGATGACAGATTGGCTTTCCTCGGCAGAAAGCACCCTGAGTCCACAACCATTCACTCCAGAACAGCACACCTTTAGTGAAACTGGTCTGGACAAGTCCTGGCTAGGGCTCCTGCCCCTCCACCGGTCATCAAAGTTGGTCTGCTGATTACCCCTCAGTTCAGTTCAGTTCAGTTCAGTTCAGTCACTCAGTCGTGTCCGACTCTTTGTGACCCCATGAATTGCAGCACGCCAGGCCTCCCTGTCCATCACCAACTCCCGGAGTTTACTCAAACTCAGGTCCATCAAGTCGGTGATGCCATCCAGCCATCTCATCCTCTGTAGTCCCTTCTCCTCCTGCCCCCAATCCCTCCCAGCATCAGGGTCTTTCCCAATGAGTGAACTCTTTGCAAGAGGTGGCCAAAGTATTGGAGTTTCAACTTCAGCATCAGTCCTTCCAATGAACACCCAGGACTGACCTCCTTTAGGATGGACTGGTTGGATCTCCTTGCAGTCCAAGGTACTCTCAAGAGTCTTCTCCAATACTGCAATCTTGGTTCCAGTTTGTGCTTCTTCCAGCCCAGAGTTTCCCATGATGTACTCTGCATATAAGTTAAATACTCACATCTCCCCAAAGCTGAATGTTGTTCAAACAGTCGCTTTCTCAGAGACTTAGTAAAAATTCTTTAAAGATGAAAATTGTTTTTAAAGATCAAAAACAATAGTTATTCTACGGACATAATTTTCTGGCAAGGTCGAGTGGAAAGGAGAGTTGGCTCGCTCAGCTACACCTCCGTTAACAAAGCTCCCTTCCTAGTCAGGTGCATACCGTGGGCAAGAGGCATCACTCCAGGACCGCGGCTCCTCCACCCACACACGCAGGGCCACGACGCCCCCTCCCCCGCCCCAGGAACTAGTCCACAGCTCTTTGTGATGAGTTGTGTTTTGTGAAAACCTTCTCCCAAGACAAAGACAATTCCTAGGAGAAACAATTAGGTAAAAGAGGCAGGCAAAGAACAATGAAATCGTCAATTGGAACTCAGCTTTGTTTAAAAACGAGGCGGAGAAATCTCTAGTTCCTGTGAGAATGCTGGCCAAGTGGGCTGTTGGCCTTCTGCTAATAAAGCAGGGCCATGGAGGGTTGTGAAGCGAAACAAACTTTCTGCCATCTTCCTCCTCTCCTTTCCTGGCTTATTTGAGTTTCTCAAAACACCCTTCACCCTCACTCCCGTCCACCTGAGGGCAGCTTGTGTAGAAGTTTGCCATGTACCACATTAAACAGCATTTCCTGTGTGCCTACTAGGTGCCCATCATGTGCCAGGCGCTGGGTAATAAGTAAAACATGACTGAGAGTCTTGCCACGCTCTGTGCTGGGGTGGGGCGGGAGATGTATGTTCATTCTTTGCGGTGGAAGAAAGANGTGTGCCTACTAGGTGCCCATCATGTGCCAGGCCCTGGGTAATAAGTAAAACATGACTGAGAGTCTTGCCACGCTCTGTGCTGGGGTGGGGCGGGAGATGTATGTTCATTCTTTGCGGTGGAAGAAAGATTCATGCTGGAGAGACACCCAGGCTGATGAGTAGGGAAAGTGTTTGAGGCAGAGGGAGCAATGTGAGTGGCGTGAAATAACATGATTTTTTAACCATATAGGTGTGTCTTGCTGAAGTGGGAAAGAATGAAGGAGAGAAACGTCATGCTCATATAGAAGCCAAGAGTAGAACAGTGTTTGCCAGGGGCTGGGGAGCGGGGGTTGGGGTGAGGAACAGGGAGAGGTTGGCAAAAGGATATAAATATTCAGTTATAAGATGAATCAAGTCTGAGGATCCAATGTATAATGTGGTCACTAGAGTTGATAATAACTGAAATTTAACTATAAATGAAATTCTGTAAGAGAGTGGAGTTTAAGTGTTCTCACCACTTCTCCCCCTAAGAAGAGGTAAATATGTTAGGTGATGAGTGCACTAATCAACTCAATTGTGAGAATATTTTTACAGTGTGTGTGTGTATGTTAAGTCGCTTCAGTTGTGTCCAACTCTTTGCAACATTATGGACTTTATCCTCTGTTCATGGGATTCTTTAGGCAAGAATACAGGTGTGGGTTGCTGTGTCCTCCTCCAGGGGATCTTCCCGACTCAAAGATCAAACCTGTTTCTCCTGAGTCTCCTGCACTGGCAAGTGGGTTCTTTACCACTAGCATCACCAAGGAAGCCCTTTCATAATGTACATGAGTATCAAATCTGCCAAAGAATTGCAAGGCGACCAAACCAGTGAAGCCTAAAAATCAACCCTAAATATTCACTGGAGGGACTGATGCTGAAACTGAAGCTCCAACACTTTGGCCACCTGATGCAGAGAGCTGACTCATAGGAAAAGACCCTGATGCTGGGAAAGATTTAAGGCAAGAGAAGAGGACAGCAGAAAGTGAGATGGTTAGATAGCATCACCAACTCAATGGACGTGAATCTGAGCAAACTCCGGGAGATAGTGAAGGACAAGTACACCTGAGGTGTGGCAGTCCATGGGGTCATAAAGAGTCGGACATGGCTTAACGACTGAACAGCAACATATGAAATCATCACATTATACACTTAAAACATATTACAGTTTTATTTTTCAATTACACATCATAAAAGCTGGGAATAAAGAATGAGGGAGAGAAAGAAAGAGGCAGGGAGAAAGTGCTGGGAAAAACTCTAAATAGACAGGTGGACAGCAGATCATAGTTGGTTATAGGTGATGTAATTGAAGGAATCTGAGCAGAAAAAAATTGTATATCAACTTTGCAAATTTAGAAGTTCTCTGTGATTAAACATAGAAGCAGGGAACTCTACAGGAAGATCATTATAAAAATCTAAGCAAGAGGTGAAGAGAGTCTGACTAAGGTTGTGGTGGCAGGACATGAAGAAAAGGTGAACTAGAGATTTTTCAGACTGTATCAAGCTAGCTTGGGTTCAAGACCCAGTTTTGCTCCTTATTAACTTCAAATCACCAGGCAAATTGCTTCATCTCTTGGTATTTCAGTTTCCACATCTATGAAATGGAGAGGAAAATATTACTTGCTTCACAGTGTTCTTGGGGTGAAAAATGAACCAACAAAAGTAACACTTGTAAGAGCCTGCCTAGTTCATGGTAACCCTCACCCCCCAAATTCTGGCTGTTATTAGTATGATTAGATGCACAGAAAGAGGGAGAAGAGGAGACTTGGAGAACAGCTGAGTTTGGGGAATGGACATGTCTGTGTCAGGTTTGTACTGTGTCATTAGGGCAGAGTCCTTACCCCTGAAAATGGTACTTTCTGTTAAGGTGTAAGCTTTCTTAGGTCTCACTTGAATACTTGTCATTCTCAGGACATTTTCTCTGTCCCGACTGGGCTCACACTCCTGTGTCTCCTAGCACTGTGAGCCTCGGTGTCCACACTCAGTCCTCAGCCCCCAAGCACGGGATTCTTTAGACCTGGTGATGTCTTATCCTACACCCTCCAGCACTGGGTAGCCAGGGCCCAAGGGCACTCCCTTTGTGTGCATATTCTATCCCCACTCGGCAGCCCGAACTCTGAGCTCTGCCTCCCCTAACTAGACCATCTAGCTTTGCACTCATCCTGCCCCTCTCTGTGCCAAGGTCTGAAGGCGCCCAAGCAGAAAGAAGGGGAGGGGGGGGCATGGAGCTGACTTTGGGTGTTTCTCTTCCCTCCAGAACGCACTGTGTTGTCTCCTGGGAATCAGTTGCTTTCATCCTCTTGTCCAATTGTATTGTTGTTCATGGCTAGAAGATAAGTCCATTGTCAGTCATTCTGTTGTGGTTAAATACAGAATTTCTAGCCTCAATGCCTCAATGAGGAGCTGTGGATAATGTAAGGACAGGACTAAAGAAGATCATTTATATATCAGGACATGATGTGGCATTTGTCAAAAGGAGATGCACTATAAATGTGATTTACTTTATTCTTTAACCCCATTTTAATTAATTATGATAAAACAAACCAAACTCCTCACACACACTTAAGCACATCATAATAAAGTGAATGAAACCAAAGATAAAGAGAAAATACTAAAGGCAGCCAGAAGTAAAAGATGTATTATATACAGAGGAATAATAAGAATATTAATTGACTTCTCATCAGAAACAATGAAGTCCAGAAAGACAATGGAAATAAAGGCTCAGAAAGTTCAGAAAAACATTCTTAGAGAATTAAGCACCAGCAGAACTGTGCTATAAGAAATGCTGAAGGTGAACCTATACAGAGTAAAGTAAGGAAAAAAGAGAGGAACAAATATCATACGTTAACACATGTATATGAAATCTAGGAAAATGCTACTGATGGTTCACATTTATTTTCAGGGCAGGAATAGAGGCACAGACATAGAGGGCAGGCTTGTGGACACATGGGGATAAGGAGAGGGTGGGGTGAACTGAGAGAGTGGCACTGACATATACACACTACCATGTGTAAAATAGGTAACTAGCGGGAAGCTGCTGCATAGCGCAGGGAGCTCAGCCCAGTGCTCTGTGATGACTGGAGGGGTAGGACAGGGGAGTCGAAGGGAGGCTCTGGAGGGAGGGATTATATGCATACTTACGGTTGATCAGTTCAAGAGTTGGGCTGAAGAAGAGTGACTTTCACTTTTCACTATAGCTGATTCATCTTGTACAGCAGAAACTAACAGAATTGTAGTTTCTGTAAAGCAATTATATTCCAATTAAAAATACATTTAAAAAAAGAAATGCTGATGGAAGTTCTTCAGACTTAAAGAAAATGATATAAGCTAAAAATTCAGATCTATAAAGAGCTACTAGAAAGCCAAATGTGTGGGCAAATGTAAAAGACCACCCTTTTCGTTTTCCCAACTTCTTTAGAAGACAAATGACTATTTAAAGAAAAATTACAATGTTTTGTACAGTTCAAAATATAAGTAAAATATATGATAACAACAACATAAAGGACAGAAGTAGGAAAAAATCAAATATCCTGTTGTAAAATTCTTACATTATAAGTGAAATGAAATGATATTCTAAGTAGTCTGTGGTAAGTTATGGATGAATATTTAAAACTACCAAACAACTATTAAGAAAACAAGAATGTATAGCTAAAACACCAAAAGGAGAAATAAAATAGAACAGTAAAAATACCCAATTAACCCAAAAGAAGGCAGAAAAGGACAAAGGCACAAACACCAAATGGGAAAAATAGAAAACTAATACCAAGAAGACTGACTCAGACACAATCATACCAACAGATACAAGAAATGTTAAAAAACAAGATACTCCAGTTACGTCAAAGCTTGTCAGAAATGGATAAAAGACCAAGATACAGTATATGCTATCCATAAGAGATACATTTGAATTCAAAGACTCAGGTTGAAAGTAAAAGGATGGAAAAAGGTACACCATGCAAAACAGTTAAACATAAAAAAGCGGCGTGGCTATAACATCAAACCAAGTGGATGTTATGGGCTGAATTGTGTCACCTCCCTTCCCCGCCAAAAAACTCTTCTTATACTGAAGTCCTAGTCCCCAGAACCTCTGAATATGACTGCATTTGGAGAGTCTTTAAACAGGTAATTAAGTTAAATGAAGTCGACAAGATGGGTCTAATCCAATCTGACCGATGTCATAAAAAGAGATTAGGACAGAGAGGGAAGGCCATGTGAAGACACAGGTAGAAAATAGCCATTTGCAAGCCAAGACAAGAGACCTCAGAAGGAACCAACTCTCCTAACACCTTGACTTGGAATTCAAACCTCCAGAACTTTAAGGAAATAGATTTTTGTTGTTTAAACCACCCCGTCTGTAGGACCTTATTATGACAGCCCTAGTAAAACAATGCAATAGATTTCATGGTAAGCGTGCAACAGAGGTAAAGAGAAATATTTCACATGAACAAAGGGACAATTCATCAGGGAAATATAACAACCCTAAATGGAGGTGTACCTAATAACAGAGTTTAGAAATACATGAAGCAAACGACAAAACTGAAGAGAGAAACAGACAAATTCACAATTACAGTTAGAGATTTTAACACTCCTCTCTCACTAATTGGTGGGACAACTATACTAAAAAAATAAAGTATAAATATAAAATATTTAAATAATACTAGCAACCAACTTGACAAAATTTACATTTATAAACATTACAATCAACCACTGCAGAATGCTCATTCTCTGAAGTGTACATGGAATCTTCAACAAAATAAATCAATTGCTGGATAATGAAATAAGTCTCAGTAAATTTCAAAGGAATGAAACAGTAACATATGTTTTTTTAACCACAACAAAATTAAATTGGAAATTAATGAGAATAAATTATCTAGAAAATCTCCCTAAATATTTGAAAATTAAGCAACATACTTCTAAATAATTTACCTCTTTCCTCTAGGCTAAAGAAGAAATCACAGGATAAATTAGAAACTATTTCAAACTTAATGAAAATACAATATGCCAAAATTTGTGGTATATCATTAAAACAGAATTTAGAAAGAAATCTGTGGCTTTAAATACTTGCAGTAGAAAAGAAGAAAGTTTTAAAATAAGTAATCTAAAAATAACCTAAGCTTCCACTTGAACTCGGGAAAAGCAAGTTAAACCAGAAACAATAGAAGGTGGGAATAAGAGCAAAAGTGAACCGGAAAACTAACAAAAAACAAAAAAAAAGTCAAAAGCCATCAAAGCCAAAAGATCATTCTTTGCCAAGTTCAATAAAGTTAGTAAACCTCTAGAAGACCGATGAGGAGGACTTCCCTAGTGGTCTAGTGGTTAAGAATCCACCGGCCCACGTAGGGGACACAGGTTCGATCCCTGGCCAGGAAAGATCCCACATGCCACAGGGCAACTAAGCCCGTGTATCACAGCTACCGAAGCTGGCATGCCTAGAGCCTGTAGTCCACAACAAGAGAGCCACTGCAATGAGAAGTCCGCATAGTACAACCAGAGTAGTCCCTGCTCACCCACCACAACTGCAGAAAGCCTGTGCGCAGCAACAGAGACCCAGCACAGCCAAAAATAAATAAAATTTAAAACATAAAAGACTGATGAGGAAGAGATAAAGATAATGAGCAAGGGATATTTACTAGTATCAGAAATAAAAGCAGGACAACATTACAGACAGTAAAAGAGTAACAGGGGAATTCCCTGTAAACTGGTAAAGCCTGCAATGCAGCAGACCTCGGTTTGATTTCTGAGTTGGGAAGATCCTCTGGAGAAGGGATAGCATACCCACTCCAGTATTCTTGGGCTTCACCGATAGCTCAGCTGGTAAAGAATCTGGCTGCAATGTGGGAGACCTGGGTTTGATCCCTGGGTTGGGAAGATCCCTGGAAAGGGATAGCCTACCCATTCCAGTATTCTTGCCTGGAGAATCCCCGTGGAAGAGGAGCCTGGTAGGCTACAGTCCATGGGGTTACAAAGAGTTGGACATGACTGAGCAATTAAGCACACACATGAACAATTTTGTATCACTATATAAATTTGACAGTTTAGATTAAATGGATAAGTTCCTTGTATAACATTTTCTAAAACTGACACAGGCAAAAATAATTTTTTAATGGAATAGTTCCTAAATTAAGGAAACTGAATTTACAATTACAAACATTTAAGAAAATTCCACACCCAGATGGTTCAACTGGTAAATTCTACGTATGTTACTAGCATCAAACAAAATCCGTCAAAAAATACAGAGAAAACACTTCCCAATTCATTTTAAGAGAACTTCATGATCCTGATACAAAAATCCAATAAAGATATTGTAAGAAAATTATAAATCAATAATCCTCTTGAACATAGATGCAAAAATGAACACAGTAAAATATTAGAAAATAGAATTTAGCAATATATAAAAAAGATACATCATGACCAGGGGGTATATCCTAGGATATCAGATTTCCCACATTCATCAGAATGACTAAAATTAATAAGACTGAAAATGCTAAGCATTGATGAGGACACAGAGAAATGAAGCTTTCATATGTTGTTTTGACAGCCTTTTATAAAGTCGAACATAAGTACCATATAATCCAGTCATTCCATTACTAAGTATTTACTAGGAAAATGATAATGTCTGTGAAATTTTATACATGATTATTTATAGTAGCTTTATTCATTATTGCCCCAAATAGGAAATAATCCAAATATCGAACAAGGGGTGAATAATAAATAAGTTGTAATATTTCCAGTCAATTACTCTGCAGTAAAAAGGTGCAAGCTACTGATTTCAAGCTATGACATGAATGAATCTCAAAAACATGATACCAAGTGAAAAAACAAACAAACAGATAAGCCAAGGATTACTGTATGCGTCTATTTATAGGAAAATTATGAAGAGGTAACACTAGTCTATGACAGTAGAAATCAGGGAGTGGTTGTGTCAGAGGGCAGGGACTGCCTGTAAAGAACCCAAGGGAACTTGTGCGGGTGACAGAAATATTTAATGTCTTGAGTGGAATGTTAATTATGTGAATGTACAAATTTGTCAAAAGTCGATGAAGCACTTAATATATGTGCATTTCTGTCTGTGCAAATATAACTTCAGTTTGAAACAAATAAGAAAAATAAGTCTCCAAACCAAACCAATACAATGCAGCAAGCAAGTCTTTCCAACTTAAAAATATTTAAAAAATTCACCCAAAGAAATTGAAAGCTTATGTACACACCAAAAGGCTTCCCTGGTGGCTCAGATGGTAAGGAATCTGCCTGCAATGCAGGAAACCCGGGTTTGATTCCTGGATCAGGAAAATTCCCTGGAAAAGAGAGTGGGAAAACATGCACACGGTTGTATATAAGAAACTTATTCATAACTGGCAACACTTGGAAGCAACCAAGCTGTCCTTCAGTAGGTGAATGGACAAATAATCTGTGGTACATCTAGACAATGGAATACTACTCAATACTAAAAAGAAATGAGTTCCAAAGAATAGCAAGGAGAGATAAAAAAGCCTTCCTCAGTGATCAATGCAAACAAATAGAGGAAAACAATAGAATGGGAAAGACTAGAGATCTCTTCAAGAAAATTAGAGATAACAAGGGAACATTTCATGCAAAGATGGGCTCAATAAAGGGCAGAAATGGCATGGAACTAACAGAAGCAGAAGATATTAAGAAGAGGTGGCAAGAATACACAGATCTTCACGACCCAGATAATCACAATGGTGTGATCACTCACCTAGAGCCAGATATCCTGGAACGGGAAGTCAAGTGGGCCTTAGGAAGCATCACTACGAATAAAGTTAGCAGCGATGATGGAATTCCAGTTAAGCTATTTCAATTTGTAAAAGATGATGCTGTGAAAGTGTTGCACTCAATATGTCAGCAAATTTGGAAAACTCAGCAGTGGCCACAGGACTGGAAAAGGTCAGTTTTCATTCCAATCCCTATGAAAGGCAATGCCAAAGAATGCTCAAACTATCACACAATAGCATTCATCTCACACATGAGCAAAGTAATGCTCAAAATTCTCCAAGTCAGGCTTCAACATTACATGAACCGTGAACTTCCAGATATTCTAGCTGGTTTTAGAAAAGGCAGACCAGAGATCATATTGCCAACATCCACTGGATCATCGAAAAAGAGAGTTCCAGAAAAACATCTATTTCTGCTTTATTGACTATGCCAAAGCCTTTGACTATGCAGATCACAATAAACTGTGAAAAATTCTGAAAGAGATGGGAAT